GACCTAGATTCCCAAACAAACGCAGCCGAAAACTTGGACTTACAAAGCTTGAACCACCCGGACAGTATGGAATGGAGCACAGAGGCATCGTCCACGAACTGATGTAGCAAGACGTTGTAACATGTTGCTTCTTTGCAGAAACAGTGCCAGTTGCAGTAGCAGTGGTGGCGGTCGTGGTCGTCGTTGTGGGATCGGCAGTGATCGTGCTCGTAGTCGAGGCCGTCGTCATCATCGCTATCGCTTTTGCCAAATTTCTAGTCCACCTGTAGCAGCCGCAGTGGCAGTGGCATCAGTTTCGCATCCGGATTCGGCGTAGCAGCGGTGGCAGTAGCAAGTCGGAGTCGGACAGTACCAGTGGTGCAAAGTCGCCGTTCTTGTTGTGTCGTAATCATCGTCGTCGTAGTAACAGTAGTTGTAGGACTGTAGGACAAGCAAAAAGTGGCAGAACTTGACATAGTAGAATTGATAAGAGTCGCAGTGGTCGTGTGCTTGGGCCCTTCAATCGCATAGTGTCGTACGGCCGAAGCAAACAGAGGTATCCACGCTGATTGTAATGCAGAAGTAACTTGACACCGAGCGCCGTGGCAACAGGGAAGAACGCATCGCGAATCTTAGAAGGGTCTACTCATGCATCAAACCTATGTGTGGGGTTTCAGAGGGTCAAGAAGCTGGATCGTCCGTTCAGTCCGCACGAATTCAGTCGTCCTTGCTCACCCTGCCCACTCTCCATTGCATGTTTCTCTTCCGTGGCACCATCCACGGACGATCTTCGATCTGTCTTTCTGAGCCGACGGAGAACTCATTCTTGCCTGGTCATTCTTTTAGAAGGCACTTCCGAAGCTTGTGCTAGCTGCGTTCTGATGGTCCAATTTCCGACATCTCTGCGGCTCCGACATGCATGCTATAGTCATCGGCTTGTCTGCAGGACAACAGCTGTGATTTATTTTGGGTTCGTTTTTGTGTGCAGGATAGTGATTGAAATTGTTCTATACTGTTGTGATCTCTCCTGTTGCTCTTGTCGACATTGCGATGCTGCGGCTGATTCCAGCCATTTCTAGTAAATCCGTGCATGATTCATGGAGCCATTTGCGAGTCTGTGCAAAAATCGGGCTGCGTAGCGTTTGCCGGGAGCTCGGGAACCCTAACCCTCATAAGTAAGCACGGTTGTCTCAGTCTCCTGGGCAGTCTCATATTGCCGCGATCCCTGAGTCCTCGTCATGTTTAAATCATCGCAAATTCTCAACCCTTAAGCCATCTCAAACCCAATATCAGTCGTTTAGGAGTCTAGAATCCAAAACGCCTCAGCATCTCTACATCGTCCTATATCCTTTACCCAGAAACCATCTTAAACCCTATGACATACCCTAAAAGTCGAAAGCCTAAAATCTAGGAATCAATAATCTACACGCCTCGACCCATTCGTTTATTCTAGGGCATCCGCTGGAAAGGCTCGATCCCCGAAGCTGCCACGCCTTTAGAGGGTTTGGGGTCTAGTTTTTTAGAGTTAGGGTTTAGGGTTTAAGGTTAGGGTTTGTTTTTTAGAGTTAGGGTTTCGGGCTTAAGGTTTAGGGGTTTAGGGTTTAGGGTGTGGGTTTTAGGGTTTCAGGTTTAGGCTTCCCACCTCCCAAAGCCCGGTCCCTCTCACTTCAGTTTACACCGTGAACACCAGGTTGCACTCTTCATTTGTAAACTTTATTGATGTCTAGACCCCTGAAGGCGTAGTAGGACCCAAACTTGTCTCACTGTATATGTATATATATATATGTATACATACATATCTATGTACTTATTTGCATATTAGATACAGCAACAAATGCATACACACACACACACACATCTGTATATATATATATATATATCTATATATATATATCTATAAAGATATGTACATATCACTCTATGTACACCCATCTACTCTGTGGGTCTCGGGAGCCCGGCCTCATGACCCAAGGAGTGGGGAGGCGAGGCCCCAACTCGGGCTTCGCTGGTGGGGAGCTCGGTCCTCTGCCTCGGAGTAAACTTGGCGTTTAGGGTTTTGGGTTTTAGTGTTTGCGCAAGGAGTTTATGTTATATGGTTTTAGTGCTGTAATTAAGGGGTGTAGGGCTCTACGGAACAAGGTCTTAAGCGTTGCAGGCTTTGGAGTCCCTGTGAGTGTAATCAGGGCCAAAAACAAATCTACAAGCCTCAAAGTCTGCCCGATTGAGGGCCCAACGCATTTGTAGGTAGTCGGATGTAGAATGGTGCGAACTGTAGGTCAAACTTTGCGTATTGGAGTGTATGATAGGGGGAAGTACTTGGACAGTCGGGGTTCGCTCCGTGATGCAACTGCCGGTTGGCTCTTTGCGTGAGGTTTATTTCGGGGCTCTGGTGGGTGCAATATTATGGGGCTCTTTGGGATTATTGTCGAGTGTATAGTTTGGGCGGGTATTCTGGGGATACTCGACCTTTGTCCCTCCAGTAATAGGGTATCAGAGTCAGACAGAATCCAAGATCAGAGCCTCTCAATGTAGGAAGCCTCTCTCCGGGCGAGCGTGCTGGCCGTGGGGGCGATGTCGGCGTGCATGATGGCAGCAGGCACGGTCGAGGGATATGCCCAGAGATCTCAGTAGCCTTGAATGAAGGAATATATAGGTCTTAGACAGCAATCTCAGTCAATATGCTTAAAAGCAAATATTCGTTACTTGAGGGGTAGGTTGCGCTGTGTTGGCACAGACTGATCCAAGTCTGCACTTCGCAGCCAACCTTTCGAGCGCCTTCCCATAGCCAAAGAGTTCCCCCAAACGGTTGAAGGGTGATTTTAGGCTTATCCTCGTGAATTGGCTGCAGGTGTTCATGGCCACCACAGGTTTAGGGTCTGTATGGCACTGTATGGTGTATAGGGGTTAGAGTCCTAGATCTCTTCAGCTCTTACCACAGTTTCGTCAACGGCATCTGTCAGCAAGCACGATGCAGGAATCCGGTTGCTTCGACGCTGCCCGGCGATGACCAGCGCAGCAAAAGCGAGGGGAGGGGAGGGACGGAAGTCGGCGAGTGTCCGGCTCCCGTGGCTTCCTTTCAGCTCGAGTCTTCTCTTCACAACCCGTCCCCGCAGACTGCCGGGACTGTGAACAGGTGATGCGATGTGGCGCCTTCACGCTTCTAAACTTCTGTCGCCAGGCCAACATGTCATGAGTTGACAAGGTTGCAAGCACCAGAGATATTTTGCTGTGCAGTTGTGAACCTGGGTTAGCTCGTTTGGGTGGCACAACCACATGAGCCAGGCCACACCAAAAATGAAAACTAGAGAAGAAATCCACACCATGCCCAAAATAAGTTGCACTGGACCGTCTGGAGCTTGCCCCTGCTGCTCGACGTTGCCAAGCCCCGCAACTGATGGAAGCCGCAGGAGACGAAGAGCCTGTCCAGCCGAAGATGAGTGAAGGCGGTGACACTGCATTCACGCAAAAAAAGGGGAGGCGCACGCTTCTGTCAGGGTTGAAGTAGCTGGTAAAGCCAGAGTTTGTTGGCTTGTTTATTTTTGTGCTTGCATGGTTGAAGCGGCGCTGTGGCCTCGAGGAGGTTCCCAAAGTCGGAGCTTCCAGGAAAGATGCATCGGCCCAAAGAAACTTCACGCGACCAGTTCATGCTCCAGAGATTGTTTGGCCCCTCGGGGCCGTCACATTTTGATGCATCGGGTGTGTAGGGCTGCACCTGGTGGGTGCATAAGTGTGGCCGTGTTGCTTCCATGCGGCTGCTTGCCCCGTGGCTTGCGCTGGCGGTGCTCCTGAACTCCGGGGCGGCGTCTCGGCTCTCTCCGTTTAATTTCTTAGACTTGAGGCTGAAAGCATATAGACGGAGGACTCCTAGATTTTTCTGTCGGCACACGCAGGTTGATTCTGAAAATCCCGATAGAACATGGTAGCTTAAATATGAGGTTCCGGAAAAAGAGCTCAGTTTGGGCCTCGAGCCGAGGCCCTCCGGGATGATGGCGCTGCCCGGTCGCTAGCGCTCGAGGCCTATAGGGTCTCCCCCGCTTCGGACTCCGTATGCAGCAAGAACCGTGTGAAGCCGGCCTATGGTATAGGGTGCACGTGAAGAAACACGGAAAGGACAGCCACGAGCAGCACGCGGGACGAAGAGAGAACGGATCCCGAGATTGATGCTCGGCTGAACCTTTGTTGGGGCCGCCATTGGACTGTAACAGGCTCCGTGCTTGGCCGTTGCTCCCCTCCCTGTTGCACGACTGCCCCTGGCAAGGTCCGTCGCCGGAGGCGCTCCGCAGCATTTTGCTGTCGCTGGGAGTTGCGGCTGAAGAGCTCAAGGGACAGCCCTATACCTGGCGAGGAGTCCGCATCCGAAGCGACGGTTGTGTGAGGGAGCTGGATCTAACTGGGAGGCCCATCAGCGGCAGCTTGGACCCTCTCGCCAATCTCACCAGCCTGGAGCGTCTATATCTCAAGAACACCGGTGTGACTGGAGGCCTGCAGGCCTTGGCAGAGATGACCGAGCTGCGGCAGTTGCGGCTGCAGGGTACCAAGGTTTCTGGTGACCTGCAACCGCTCTTCAAGCTGACGAAGTTGAACGGGCTCTGGCTCGAGCACACCGGTGTGACTGGAGACTTGCAGCCTTTGGGCGACATGACCGAGCTGCACCAGTTGCGGCTGCATGGTACAAACGTGGCCGGTGACCTGCAGCCGCTCATCAAGCTGACGAAGTTGATGGAGCTCTTGCTCGAGAACACCGGTGTGACTGGAGGCTTGCAGGCCTTGAGCGACCTGAGCGATCTGCGGAAGTTATGGCTGGGTGGTACAAAAGTGGCTGGTGACCTGCAGACAATCGCCAAGCTCACTAGGCTAAATCTGCTTTTGCTCAAGAACACCGGTGTGACTGGAGGCTTGCAGGCCTTGGGCGACATGACCGAGATGCGGGAGTTGTGGCTGCAGGATACCAAGGTTTCCGGTGACCTGCAACCGCTCTTCAAGCTGACGAAGTTGAAAGAGCTTTATCTCCAGAACACCGTCGTGGACGGCGATTTCGGCGAGCTCCTTCACCTGACAAACCTAATGCAGGCCCCTGTAAGCTTATCCCTGGCCCCACATTTCGCATTTTTTCACATGTCGGAGGCCGATCTGAGTGGCACGCGCGTGTCTGGGCGCCTGACGCCCGCCTGGCGGGGCCAACTCCTGCAGCTCCACACGCTCAGACTCAAGGACCGGCCCTCAGAGCAAGGCCTGTGCACCCGGTTTGTGCTGCGGTCCGCCCCGACGAAGCCGAGGGCAGCCAAGTGAACTTCCTGCCTGTCGGACGTGATCTGGAAGACCTCCGGGCGACATTCATCACCGAGAAGACCCACCAGCTGCTTCCGGCCCTGGTGACCTTGGACGCCGCGTGGTTGCGCTTCAAGTAAAGCTCCGAGCGGATGCTGTCAGGTCACGACTGAGAGCTGAAGGTGTCTTAAAGAGAAAGTCTCTTAACGCTTCTTGCATCCAAGGTGTCGCTGTGTCCGCTGGACGGCGAAGTAGAGGACCTGTTGGAGCCCCTGTCCTTCGCGGGACACTTGGCCTCTCTCCGTGCCAGCGGGGCGAACCTCTCCGGGCATCTACAGAAGAACTGCTTGCGCGAGATATTCATAGACGGCAATCTCTTTGATGACCATTGCAGCATCCCCTTGCAGAGCTCCTTGCAAGGCTTGGAGTTGGCAGACAACAAGATCCATCGCATCGAAGGCATCCCTGCCAACGTCTACGTCGCTTTGGCCAACAACTCGGAGACATACATGAACAT